TGGAGCTGAGGCCTCTGGGAGATGGATAGGGTTAGGTCAGATCCTGAAGGCAGGACTCTCATGACGGCATTAGTGCCCTTATAAGAGGAAGACAGGTGGGTGTCTCTCCGAGCATGCACAAAGAAAGACCAGATAAGCACACAGCAACAAAAACAGCTACCTCTAAGCCATGGAGAGCACCATCACCAGGCTTTTTATGGCCAGAAGTTGCAAATCAGTGGCTCAAGAGGCACCACAATCTTCCTTATTCTGCTGATATGTTTGTTTGGGCAGCATAGGATTTCTTAAAATGTGACCCACCATTGAAAAATCAGGAAACTTTGTTTAAAATTCAGATTCCCTCACTGGGCTCACATTCCTACCTGGCCACAACAGGCTGGACCTGAGCAGCAGGTGCCCTCAGAGATGATCAGCCCAGTTAGCACAGTCCCCACCTCTCCCCCAGTGTCCCTGGCCCAGCCTGTTTCTCTTCTTTAATCCTATTGAAAATTCATGGGAATCCAAGCCCTCTAAGACTAAGCTTACCCTGATGCTCAGAAGTGTTCTGTGTTTCGTTTTTTTACTTCCTTCTCTTGTTTTATCACTATATTCAAAGAAAACTTAGGAAGAACACATCAGATACTTTGCTTCTCTCACAACTCTCAACACAAGAGTACAAAATAGATCATCGATGTTAGTTGAATGAATGAATGAATGAATGAATGAACAAAGGACTAAATGTCTCACCTCTGGGATCATCCTCCATACTTGCTCTTTTCCCCCTAAATGCAGACTTTTGCCCTTAAAAAGATAGCCTAAAATGAATATGGATGTATAATTTTTAAAAACACTAAAGTCAGTAAGTACATTTCTATTTCAGTTTTCCATGGGTTGAAATGGAAACAGCAACTCTGGGTAATGATAACGAACCCCAATGTCTGGCAGCAAGATGAATTGTAGAGCCCAAGATACTGAAAATGCCTCAAGTTAAGATCACCAAGCATCACCGGTGATCTCTGAGGGAATTGTGGAAAAGAGGATAGGGGCCCAAAAGTGAGAGACAGGCAAATGCTGCTCTGACTCTCAACAAGGGAAAGAAGTGACAGATTGCCAACTCCCAAATGGAGAATGTGATGTTGCTCTCAGACAAGGATCCTGAACAGATTTCTAAGGGGACACTGAGGAGCACCTGGATGGGAAACAGTGTCCATACGGAGCCAGCACGGGGTCACTGAGAACAAATTCATGTCATCTTCTCTCTGCTAGGACTCCCAGCCTAGTAGATTATATTTTTTTCTGCAAAGTATTTAGCTGCCACTCCCTCAACCTGCTATATATCTAAATACAGCAAATAGATGGAGTGCAATGAGCAGCAAAAAGGGCCAACTCAGCCCTTGGGATACCTTAGGAAAGTGTTACAGACAACATCAAGGAGGTGGCAATTGTTTTCTTTCTTTGGTCACATCTAGAAAATTATGTTTAGAACTTAATGCCAATCTTAGAATAAGATATTGGTAGATCTTTTGGAGGCTTTTTTTTTTTTGGTGAAGCCTCTTAAAATCATAAAGCTCTCATCAGATTTCTGGCATCTGTTGCAGAACTGCAAGATCTGGCTGGGCTTACACTCCTAATTGGCAATAGCTGGCTGAACCCAAGTATGGCTGTCCTCTTCCTTTCAGGTGGGACCTGTGATATCAGGTCCACCACAGATATCATTACCTTCTTCTGTTGCCCTCAGTGAGGTAGCAGCCAGTGGCCACAGATCGTCTCCCTGGTCGCCTTCATTCATTTATTCTATCACCCAAAGATGTTGGATTTGCAACCCAAGATGCAGCAGATCTGGAGGGCATCAGGAATGGTAAGTAGTAGTGAAACATCTTACATAAGCAAAGGAGGTTAATCATAATCGGGGGTGAGGAGCAGAGGCTCCCAACAGCCAGTGAGCAGCCATGGGGAAGAAACAGCTGTCTTGTTCTAACTCCCAAGGGTAAGAAACTATACAACCAATAGGCAGAGGAGAGAAGTGTATAATGCAGCACTAGGAATAAAGGAAAAAAACATGATCCCAAGCCATCCAAAGATAGACTATGTGGGCTTTGGAGACACAAGTCACCAGGAAGATACAAACATGGTTTACTCCTGCATCACTGGTAGGTGACCAAACAGATTCAAATATCTGACAAGGCAAGAAAAGGTGTGAGTCTAAAAATGTTGACAATAGAAAAAATTCTGTTTTAAAACATTCTCTTTTGTCAAATCAGTAAATGCTTCAAAAGAATAAAAAGGAATAAATCAACTAAGAACTCAACATAATTTTTAAAAACCAGAAGCTCCCCTCACAAAATGCACAGTAAAACTGTCTGAGAAGACTCTTTGCATCCAGTTGGCCAGATGGCACCAGGGGAAAAGGTCCCTGGCACTGGGCATTATTGTAAGTCACTGGTCAAATACTCTTCAGAGGCAAGAAATAACAGCCACAGGATGGGACCTCCCCGGTAACAATGGATACCAGCAAGAGGCAGCAGTCCCTAGCCATGTCCTGCCATCTGCCACCGACATCCATCTTCCAGGGACAGCGTCGGGCAAACAATGTGTCAGGACCACCAGGCCAGGGTGACACCGGCCTTGAGACCTTGGGCAAGTCACTGAGTATGGTGGCTTCCATCTTCCATCTGTGGAACCAAGCTCTTACCAAGCTTTCTGCACATCATGTGAGCTGATGGTACCCAGGAATGAGCCTGGAGACAGTACACCCCTGTGCACACATCAACAGCTATGATGATGATTAGCAAACAGATTCTGTTTTCTTTTTACAGTGCTGAAGATTGAAGCCAGGGCTTTGGACATGGCAGGCAAGCATTCTCCCACTGAGCTATACCCCAGCTCAACAAATAGAATTTTGAAAGCAAAGATTTCAGAGGGTTTCAGGTACAGCAGTATCCTGACCTAAATCTTATGGGTATCAGCTCCAAAAGAATAAAATTAAACTCCTTCAACCACAATGCAGAGAAATTTAGAGTCTAAAAGGCACAAGATCATTTGGACAAATTTCCTGATGAAATTCACTATGGAGTACTTGCTGATTAGTTGTTAAAATAAATGTAAAAAGTCCAAAAAAATAAAAAATAAAAATAAATGTAAAAAGTAAAACATAAAAGAATTAATGCTTAAGCAAGTAATGCCAGAGCAATTAATGCTTAACTGGTCCTCAGGTAGAGCAGACTGGCCCAGCAGTAGTGATTTTTTAAAAATGAGAGAAGCACATTTTCTACCAAACAATACTTACAGAACCCTAACTGTCCAAAACTCCATATCCCTTCTCTGTTGTGGCATTTTCATGGGGACCTCAATTTTAAAAATATCAGGAGCAGCTGAATTGGTCTTATAAAACATAAATTCCCTAAAAAATTATATATTCAAAAACTGTAACTAAGCTTCTGTATTGAGCAGTTGGATGAATTTAAATCTCTGATCACCAAAGGACCTGTTCCTAAATACTCAGCAAGGCTAAAACATTCTAAGTCCCTGTTCTTGACATTGAACTGAAAACTAAGGAGGATGCCATCGAGGAAGAGGAGAATTTTTCTGCTCCTTTCCTAAGGTCTATCCTGAGGCAATCAACATGCCGGGTTTGATCAGAACTAAAAGAAAAAGGAGTTGGAGAGACAGGGACCAAAAACAAAGCCTCCTGGGCATCTGCTCTCCTCCCCAAGTTTCCCCAGGGCCTAAGCTTAAATAGCAGCTGGGGTGCCCAGCCTACCTCCATTCCCAGTGAGCCACCCAGCTTCCTGGATCACCCACTTCAGCTGAAGCAGGTGTGGCAGTCTCAGGTCTCTTGCACCTCCACAGTCAACCAGCTCAACAACCCCTAGCTCAGCTCGGAGCCAGGCCTCCATGTACACTTGCAGACGCATGCTGTTTTTACTCTCTGGAAGAGACCACAGCATACCCCATGTCGCAGCAGGGAGAAACAGGACCAGAGATAATGAATTCCAAGAGCCATGTACTGGCTTCTCCAGGGTACACAGCCTCCGAGAAGGGAGAGCACAGTGCACGGAGCTTGAGGCTTCCCTTGCGGAAGCGGAGCCCCTGAGCAAAGGAGGACATGAGAAGCCCTTGTCTAGGCTTAGCACAGATTCTCCCAACCGCCTTCCACTATGCAAGTGAGCACCTTTCCCTATTTCTCCCAGCCAGCATGCATTTAGGGTGCAGCTCCAGAAAGAAACATGTGCTCGGTGGCCCCAGAGCTGGAGCAGGTAGCCAGAGGTCACCTCACTCTCCAGGCAGACTTCCCTCGGGCAGCACCCAACCCAAACTGCACACTGAGCTGTTGGCTTGAAACCAAAGCTGCTGACCCTGAACACTGGTGCGCAGAATGATGGGGCTGCACACGCCGGTGAGATAATACATTTTCTGCACTGCACTCTCTCTTGATGCCTAAATGCCTGCATTAGTCTGGATCAATATGCCCTGTACAGTTAATCCATGGCAACCCAGGCCAAGCGAGAGACACCGACAAAGAGGGCCGCCTGAGGATGCTGCCTCCCTGAACACACGCGTGTGAATTCCAACTCAGAGAAAGAGGCCCTGCAAAACCACTACCACCAACAGAAGCCAAAAAGGGGGCAAGGAGCACCCTGTAAAACATACACATCCATATCGAGAGGCTTTTTACCGCGGCAGGCATGGGGAGGAGGCAGGCTGGCCAAAATGGCTTTAGAGGACTTGCTGCCACCAAGATGATGGAGTAGCCACGACACTCCCAAAGTCAGGCGTAGGATCCTCCTCACACCTGCAATGCAGAGACCGCTGCCCTTTCTCTACTCCACACTCCCAGCCCAGCGCTATCTGGGGTTGAAACCAGTCTGGACTTGTGCGGCTGCCACAGTTCCTCTCACAATAAGATTATTGATGCATAACAACATTTCATGATGACAGGGAGGAAAGAGGAAAAAGGGGAGGAAAGGCCAGAGCAGGAGAAAGGGAAAGGGGAGGAGAAGGAAAAGTCGGTTGCCTCTCACCTTTTATTTGGGCTTCATATTCAGCAATGATCTCTTTGTCTTTCTTGAACTTAGTTTGAGATGACATCTTCTGATGTGGCCAAAGGAACTGACACGCTGTTTGATTTATTTCTCCTTTTCTTCCCCAGTCCTCCTCAAGCCCTGGGAATCACAGGGCTCTGGTCAATTTCCCAGGTTTAGGGGCTGATCTCTTACTGGGCTGCAGAACACGGGTAAAAATCCTTCTCCTTCTGGGAGGAAAATCTCTTTACTCGCGCAGAAATGGCTCTAGAAGCTCGCTCCGGTCAGCTCTTCTTGCAAACGAATCACTCTAGGAGTCGGTAACCTGTCCCAGATTTCCAAGATTTTTCTTCTCCCCCCAAAAATAACCAAGAGCACTCGCACACACGCGCGCGCGTGCACACACACACACTCACGCATGCACGCACACACTCATCCAGACACACTCACACACGGTCGTAATGCGCACACACCCATCCACACACATACACACTCTCAGGCATGCACACCCGCTCGCTCACTCGCGCGCGCACACATCCGCGAGAGCCGCGGCGCCTCTGGGTGGTGCAGCCAGCGCCCAGCTCGCTTCTGACGGCTCTGCTGAGGAGATGGTCAGGTTGCCAAAGCGCCAGTCATCTCGCATCCTCCCTCCCTTCGGCGCCTCTGCTCTGATGTCCAGGGAGGATCAAAGCCAGGAGAGCGAGATGGAAGTTTTCCTGCTCGCTCGACGCTGAAGCCCGGGTGAACTCAGGGCCGAACTGCTCGCCCTGCAGGCTGGCAGCTCCGTTGGCGCCCTCGTCACTAGACCCCGCCCCCAGGATTTTATAACAACTGACACATTGTAGCCTACAGGAGAGCAGAGCTCTCTGCAAGCAAAAAAGGGAAGAGACTCTCACAAAAGGGAGGCGGCAGGAGAAGAATCAGGGCTGGGCAGGCCGGAGAGGGTCCTGCAGATTCCAGCTACTAGCAATTGGGTCAGGGGTTTTTCTTCTGAAAACCAAAGAGCCTCCTTTTCTTTGCATTGTGCAATTTAATTCACAATTTGATTTAAATCAACGGCTAGATAACAGTTTGTCCCTTCACCCCAGAGTCTAGCAGAGGGCCTGATCCATGTAGGAAAGAACATTAATATTTCTCGAGCCGTTACTTGATGGTGAGGACAATGCAGACCAGATACTCAGTTTTCCAAAGCCTCCGGGAGCAAGCAGGGCTGCAAACAGGCAGAGCCAGGCCAGTAGCTCATGAGGCGTGGGGTGCATCTCCAACCCGCTGACCCTCTGCTTCTTCACCAGTGAAATGAGCTCTCTTTGGGTCTTTTTCATTCTTTCAACAAATATCTACTGAAAGCTTACTCTAGGTCCAGCACCATTCTAGGCAAAGGTACAATAATGATCAAAATACCCCACTACCACCACCAATTTCTGCCTTTCTGCTGCTCCAGAGCCTCCATGTCACATAGCTCCCCAGGGTCACCACCATCCCCACTGATGGTCTTGGTGAAAGCACCCCCCAGAGCAAAACTCATCAGGAATGGTGCCCACCCCCCTCCAAGTTGTGGAAGGCAAGAGACCTGGAAGGGAAGAGTTGCAGGAGGAAATCCTGTAAGATGGTAGAGAATGATCAGTGCTGTGACAGAAATGATGAGGACGCTTGGGAGGACGGGGCAGAAATGCAAAGCACAGTGGATACACAGTCAGCAGGCAATGAAGGGGAGCATCACACCCAGTCCTGCTGTCCCCAACCCCACAGGGTGAGAGTGAGAGATGAGCACTTGACACAGGTGTAAGTGTCCTTCTCTCACAGTTGAAAAAGCGGGGTCTTGGATATGGGCAATGACTTTCCCAGAGTCACCAGCATTCCATCCCAGGCTGTGTGACACCAGCTTCCACCCATGGAGATACTCCAGGTGCCCTGCAGTCTCAGAGGGAGATCAAAGACATTATGCAGGCACTTCCAGAAGAAGATTGGATCGAGCACAAGAGAGCTGCCAAAAACTGAACTTTCACATAGTAAGGCAGTCATAAATGCATATTGTCCCCCAAGTGCCCCCAGAAAATTTTTTCTCAAATTTCTCAAAATACGTATAGTCTTCCATTTGCCTTTCTCTGGGAACAGAATACATGCTTTGGTTCAGATTCAGAAATGAAAAGATTTCCATGCCAGTCCATGGGGGCTTCCCAGGGAGAAGTGGCAGCTATAATGGGTGCCCCCAGGTAGGCGTAGCAAGGGAGTGAGGTGGGGCAGGGTGCCCCACAGGTAATAGGCCCACAGGTAGAAAAGCACAGGATCTGCCTCGAGGAGGGGAAGTCTCACTGGTGAATCATGAGCTTTATTATAGCTTTGTGCCAGCAGACAGGAGGTCACAGAGTTCATAAATAGCTGCCACAGCCCACCCTCCCAAGGGAATACGCAGGCCCTCTACCATGAAAAGCCACATGTGTCACCCAAAAAAGACAGGCTCAAAGGTTAGCATTCTGCCTCGAGCCTAGATCCTCAAAGCAAACAGGAGTTAAGGCTGTCACCTCAGCATGTCACAGGCTAGATTTCTGCCTGGCTCTGCATAGAGAACTTCTCATAAGAATTTGAGCAGGGGACTTGACCTGCTCGCATGCCCACTTGTAGCAGGGACTCAGTAAATGTCAGCTCCCCTCATGGTGATGACAATTCAAAATTCACAAACATTTCTAAGAGATCCACGTGTGGAGCACTGAGCTAGGGAAATGTTACAAAAAGCCATATGAAACTGAAGCAAAGCACAGGATAGTGCTATGTGCAGAACACTGGAAAAGCCAGATTTGGGAGTAAGATGGATAGTGATTCACACTCTGCCTCTGTGCATCCCAGTGGTGACATGTGGCACAGCCTTGGGCACCATATTTTCCTGAAAATAAGACCTAACTGGAAACTAAGCCCTAGCATGATTTTTCAAGATGCTCACAATCTAAGCCCTACCCTAAAAATAAGCCCCAGTTAAGACCGTCAGCCAGATGGACACATTTAGTATCTCTATTGCAACATACAAGGAACATATTAAATTATAGAATAATTCTAATAATACATAAACATAAGTAACTATTATTGACAGTAATACTTAAAATAAATGGTAATATAAATTATAATTAAGTACTTGTAAATACCCAAGTGGGCACCTTTGGATGAGAGGTAAACATTTATGTAACAGATGAACTGGATACTTATTGCAGAGTGAACAATCAGAGTCAGACACAATGCACAAATAAAGAACTGATTTCTTTTCTCCACTTGAAGGAAGAGTGAGTAACATAGTTTTTGGTTTAAGGGAATTTTATTTTTCTGGTCAAATAAGAACACCCCCACACATACTCAAGATAACTACTTTCATGACATTTTTCCACATTGCTACCAACTAATGCATCCTTAGCCAGCTGTTTGAATAATTCTGACCTTCAACCTCAATTCTGTAAAATGAAGGCAGCAATAGAACTCACCTAATTACTGCCAGAATTGATCCAATTAATAATTATGATGGCAATGTATCATGTGTGTATACACAAAGCTTTATGCTTTGTGAAAGCCCTTCATGTTGTTTGTCTTATTGAACTCCACAGTAACCCAGGAGCAAGGAGGGGTGTTTTTAATCCCCATTGTACTGATAAGAAATGAGTGGATAAATGAAAGCTTCCAGATAAGGTTAACCTCACTGTGTCACAAAACCCAGAAGCCAGAAAAGTCTGACAAACTCAACTTCATAATGATTTTTTTTTATTCTGCCTGGTAAAAACCACCAAAAGCAAAGTCGAAGGAAAATGACACACCAAGAAGCAATATTTTTGCAACATATACCACAAGCCAGGGGCAATTTTCTCTAATATACAAAACATACTAGTTTCCCTAATACATAATTCAAACAAATGTGCATCAAATATTCAGAGCAGCACTATTCACAGGACCTAAAAGACAGAAACAACCCAAATGTCTATCAATGGATGGATGGATTAGCAAAATGTAGTAGAGCCATACAGTGAAATAGTATTCAGCCATAAAAAAAGAATGGAATACTGATACACACTACAGTATGGGCCAACCTTAAAAATGGTATACTAAGCAAAGCAGACAGATACAAAAGGTGACATGGGAGCCAGTTTATATGAAATATTCAGAATAGATAAAATCCATAGAGACAGAAAGTGGATTGGCAGTGGCCAGGAGAAGGAGGAGTGGAGAATAGAAAGAGACTGCTCAGTGCAGTCAAGGCCTCTGGTGAGAAACAAATGTTTCCAAAATAGAAGTGGTGGCAGCAACAGTGTGACTGTACTAAGTGCCACTAAATTCTACACCATAGTATAGTTAATTTGTTATATGAATTTTGCCTCAATAAGAAATACATAATGTTGGATATGCTTGTAAACACCTGTAATTCCAACACTCGGGAGGCTGAGGGAGGAAGATCACTGTGACCTCGTGGCTAGCCTGG